TTTTCCAGTGGTCATGCATGGATGTGAGAGTTGGACTATAAAGAAGACTGAGTGCCGAAGAATTGATGCTTTTGAACTGTGGTGTTGGAGAAGACTCTTAGAGTCCCTTGGACTGCAAGGAGGTCCAACCAGTCCATCCTAAAGGAAATGAGTCTTGGGTGTTCATTGGAAGGACTGATGTTGAAGCTGAAACTCCAATACTTTGGCCACTTAATGCGAAGAGCTGACTCATTTGAAAAGACCCTGATGCTGGGAAAGATTGAAGGTGGGAAGAGAAGGGGATGTCAGAGGATGAGATGGTTGGATGGCATCACTGATTGGATGGACATGAGTTTGGGTAGACTCTTGGGAGTTGGTGACGGACAGGGAGGCCTGGTGTGCTGCAGACCATGGGGCTGCAAAGAGTTGGAAACGACTGAGTGACTGAACTGAACTGAGCTGAAAAGGCATAATCAGGGGCAATTTCTTCCCCCTCTTTTCTAAGATTTCAAAGTTTTATATAATAGGAGAATATTACTTTTGAAATAGCAAAAAGTGTAATTTAAAAGTCTTTAAAATATTGTAAAGTAATTAGCCTCCAACTAATAAAAATAAATGAAAAAAAATTCTTAAAGAAGAAAAAAAAAGTCTTTAAGTCAAAGCAATTTTAAGGAAGAAATATGAAGCTGGAGAAATCAGGCTCTGTGACTTCAGACTATACTCCAAAACCACAGTAAACAAAATAGTATGGTACTGGCACAAAGACAGAAATACAAATCAATGGAACAGGATAAAAGTCCAGAAATAAACCCTTGCGCCTATGGTCAATTAACCTATGACAAAGGAGGCCAGAATATACAATGGAGAAAAGATAGTCTTTCCAATAAGTGGTGCTGAGAAAACTGGGCAGCTCCCTATAAAAGAATGAAATTAAACCATTCTCTAACACCAAATACAACAGCAAACTCAAAATGGATTAAGGATCTAAATGCAAGACCAAATACTACAAAACTCGAAGAAAACAATAGAATGATCCTAGACAGAAAACACTATGACATAAATCACAGCAATATTTTTTTGTATCCTTTCGAGTAATGGAAATAAAAACAAAAATAAACAAATGGGACTTAAACTTAAAAGCTTTTGCACAGCAAATGAAACAATAACCTACAGAATGGGAGACAATATTTGCAAACTATGTGACTGACAAGGGATTGATTTCCGAAATATACAAACAGCTCACATAGCTCAGTGTCAAAAAAACAAACAATACAATTAAAAAACTTGGCATAAAATCTAGACAGACACCTGTGCAAAAAAGACATACAGAGGGCCAACAGGCACACGAACAATGCTCAACATCACTAATTATTAGAGACATGTAAATCAAAACTAAAATAAGGTTATCACCCCACTCCAGTTGAAATAACCATCATCAAAAGTGTACATACATTAAATGCTAGAGAGGGTGTGGAGAAAAAAGAACCCTTCCACAGTACTGATAAGGCTCAACATCACTAATTATTAGAGACATGTAAATCAAAACTAAAATAAGGTTATCACCCCACTCCAGTTGAAATAACCATCATCAAAAGTGTACATACATTAAATGCTAGAGAGGGTGTGGAGAAAAAAGAACCCTTCCACAGTACTGATAAGAATATAAATTAGTAGAACTACTATGGAGAACAGTACGGAGGTTCCTTAGAAAACTAAATACAGAGTTACCATATGATTCAGCAATCCCACTCCTGGGCATATATTTGCAGAAAAACATAATTCCAAAAGATACATGCACTCCAGTGTTCGTTAGCAACACTATTTACAATGGCAGGACACGGAAGCAACCTAAATATCCAGCGACAAATGAATGGATAAAGATGTGGACTACAATCAACTATTACTCAACCATAAAAAAAGAACAAAATAATGCCATCTGCAGCAACATGGAGGCCCTAAAGATTATCACACTGAGTAAGAAGGCCAGAGAAAGACAAATATCACATGACATTCTCTATACGTGCTATATATATATATATATATACACACACACACACACACCAACGAACTTATTTACAGAACAGAAACAGACCCACAGACATAGAAAACAAACCTGCAGTTACCACAGGGGAAACGGGGGAAGGCATAAGCTAGGAGCTTGGGATCAACACAGATGCACTGTTACACAGAAAAGAGGCGGCCAGCGAGGACCTACTGTATACATGGCACAGTGAGCAACACCCCAGCCTCTGTAATAACCCACATAATCTGAAAAAGAACATATGTATGTGGAACAGAATCACTGTGCTGCACGTCCCTGAAGCTAACACAACACTACGAATCAAAAGTAATTCAAAAAAATATATATGCAGCTTATATTTGAAAAAAGAAGTCTGTTAGATAATAATGAAAAGCAAGTCCTCAGATCTATAGTTTCTAGTGTATTCTTTACATTGATAAAGAAACTTTATGAAGTTTATAGATCCGTTCTTGAGCAAACTAACAAGAATGATAGTAACAGTACATTACCTGCTCCCTTCCGTGGGAGTTCCATATTCCACTGGGGCTTTGTGGTGGGCGTGCCATCACAGCCTGCGGAGTGCTGGGGTATCAGAGCAGATCGCGAGTTAGCTGGCCGATATTTGGAGAGCCCTAAGATGCAAAAAGAGGAAAATTGGGGATTTACTTACTTCCCAAAAGAAGAAAACAGTCTACCTTAAAACCAGTTCAGTTCAACAGTAAAACTCTAATAATAAAAAGAATACTATTTTTTAAAACCACTGAAGATCCCATTTGATTCAATCCTTTGTCATGGTTCCAATATACTTAAGTCTGAGAAAAATAAACATTCAAGAAAGACAGTTCACCTGACTGAACTGCTGAACACATAAACTGGAGTCTATATTCTGGAGGAGAACCATGTCATGTCATGTTTTTTATTATTTATGTGGAACTTTGCATACAGTTAAGCATGGCTGTTTTCTCCCCAAAATTTATTAATAAATTCCATTACAATATTTAACTAACAGATCAAAATAATTTAGGGATTACAGAACATATTTAAAACATGAAACGTTGTAATGGTAAAACATGAAGAGCACTGTTCTATCAGGAGACCCAGGTTCTAACGCCAAATCATCCACAAGTTAAATACACAGTCCAGGTAAGACATTTCTTTCTTTGTGTCTCATTTTCATTTGTCACATGGAAAAGTCTAGGATTCGGATCTAGCACTGAGGTGGCTATTACTAGGGTGTGTCATTGAGGGCAAATTATTTCATATATCTCTGCTTAAATTTACTTATCCATAAAATGGACAGAATAGAAAAATAATTGTTAAGACTGCTTATGATTATGAAAGCCAAAGAATTCATGACCTTTCAGTTTTCAGATATAATTAGGTTCATATTCTCTTTGTTGCCAATTCTTAAATTCTACTAGTTCATCCCAGATTACTAGATAGTAAAAAGTAATTTAGACCTTACAAACAAAACTAAACAAAAAGCCAAACAAAAAGCATACCAAGGTGGGTAAGGGAGAGGTGCACAAATATAACATGCTTAAAAAAAACCCATTCAAACACAAAGATCATGAAGGATAACCACATCCAGCATGAATTATAAATAGGATTTTCCAGTAAAAAGAAACAGGAATAGTACCTACTCCTAACAACAACAAAAAGTCATATTCATAATTAAAGAAATATAAACTTGAATTATAATGATAATCATAATAATCATTTAAAATGGTAATTATAGTTAAGTATCCTTTAAGTTATCACAATGACAATAAAACAGTATATGAAGCACAAAGCATGATGATAAATACTGATGAATTACATCTTTATGTATCAACATGGGTGAATTTCAGCAGCATAACGTTGAGTGAAAAAAGCCAAGTCATATTGAGTATCACACAGTTTTCACATAATTCAAAAACTAAAGGCAAAGTAAACATATAGATCATATATCTGTGTGGTACACTGTAAAGAAAAGCAACAGAATGCTGAAGAAAAAACAGCTGAGACACCATTTACTCGCAAGGCAGAGAGGTGAACAGAATAGGGAGGGAAGCACAGTGAGAACGGCCACAGAATGGAGAACGCTACACAGGTTAAGGGTGGGGGGGCAGGTTCACCAAGACCTGCTTTATTACTATATTTCACAACGACAAGCAAGTCACACCAAAGCTTCATTTCTGAAAACTGCTGATCATATGAACTAGGTATAATCTCTTCAAAAAGCATTATGGCAGTAACACCAAGAGTATGAAAATCTTCTAAAGATAAGTATGTTAAAATAAAGCTAAAATTAATCTTTTTACCAAAAATATATTTTAAGGGATTTATCCTAAGAATTTGACAAAAAAAGAAACAGAAGCTTCTGTATGAAGACACTCAGAGAGAATTGCTTGCATAAAATTAAAATCAGAAACAAATGCCTGCCCACAGGGAAATAATAAGGTAAATTAAAGTTTATCAACTCAATACTGTCTCAGGTAATATTTTCAATGGAAAAGATTAGGATGTTTGAGAGGTGTATGTAAAAATCTATAACATGACATATTACACGGAACAAGCAGTCAAGAAGAGAAAGTAGCTGCATTACGGGCTGCATTGGTTGTAGTCAAGAAGTTGCATATGTAATTATAGTTACATTATTTAAAAAAAACAGACCTCTTATTTTATTTTGAGGTTAAGTCTAAACTTCAAGAAACAAAGAAACAAAAAAACAGAAATTAAAGCTACTGGAAGGACTCTGATGAATGGATTTTTGAAAAAACAAATCTAGAAGCAAGCCAAATGTTTAAAAAGAACCAAAACAAAGTAAAAAATCAAAAGAAATACTTTAAAAAAATTTATCCCTTTGCTGATACGTGTTATCTGATACAATCTAGTATTTTATACTGGCTAACTCTAAACTTCATAGCTATTCTCTTGACAATAAAGCAAACACACCTTCCAAGAGTGGTATCATGCGAACTCTCTCCATCACCCCAGTGGATGCAGGACAGCATCTTACCTGGAGTTGATGGCCTTTCAAGCATGTTTAAATGATGGGAAATGAACGCCTGGCTATCATGAACAGTATCCATGTCAATCTCTTCCTCGTCCTGAGAACTTGAAAACTGCAAGACAAGCAAAACAAAGCAAGAAAGAAGCCATTTTATCACTTTGTGCCTGGATTTTTGCTCTCAGGAAAGGTAACAGAAAAGCCACAGGATATAGCCCCAAAACATTGAAAAGGAAAAGCAGTCCTCTTCTCAAAAAGCATTAGGAGAAAGAGCAGATGACGTGGCCCAGCCTCCAGAAGCAGCTGCCTGGAGTCACTGGAGTGTGACAGCGGCTGGGGTCTGCCCCACGCGTGGCGACAGCAGTGCGCCGTGTGGGCGGTGCACACAGGCAGGAGCGGCGTGTGGGAACAGGAGTCTGAGCATCGCTGGCGTGTCTGAGGCGGACACTGGCGTCCTCTGACCGGTGGGGCTGCCCCATCTGTCCTGCTGCGGGAAGACCACAGTGAGTGGTCACGAGGTGCCAGGCAGGTGAGCGCCCTACGCTGCTCACACAGGTGGAGCCTGCATGTCTTACTCTGATTTTGAGTCTGACTTTACTGCTATCCTCATTCTTCTCCAGTATTTGACCAGGCTCTAGTGGGGACCCCAGTGGTGTGTCAGCCTTCCTCTTCACTCCCTGCTGATGAGCTGACATATTACATGAGGCTTCCTTGGCAAGGTGATCATCTTCCTGTGGCAATATTCAAGATCAAAATTAGATTCCTGAAGACAAGTAGCTCACGTTATAGCTGAAAACTAAGACCTACAGCAACCATGCAGATTAGAACATGCCCAGTGCCTCAAAGTTATCAGCAATGGGCTGCAGATGAACCTCACTCTCTCCTATCTGCTGGTCTTTCTGGGAGGAGAAGGGAGATATTAAAGGGAACCTTAAAAACTTTCCCCAAAGCATATACCTTTGGTGTCATTTTCTCCTCTTATCCTGAAGACTCCAAGTATGAAAGTGGATAAATCAACATATATGGACAAGAATTATAAACATATTCATTTCCACTGGCTTATAAATAGTCAGATTTTAAAAGAGCTCTTTAATGAGACCTTTTTTCCCTATGAAAAGATTTGTCTTACTTCTTCATAACCCGAACTCTAGGATACATCTTAAATTTACAACAAATAAGTATGATTATATTTCAGAAAATCTAGGTGAATAATTTCTTTTAAATGACTATTACTAACTAGCATAAAGAGCAATTTAAGTTTTAAAGTGTCAAAACACCAGTAGGGTATTGCCAGGCAAGTAATCTGGTCTAAATATTGGTGAAAAATGAAGCTTGAAGCACTGGGGATCTTGTGTCAACAATGAGCAAGACACTTCTGGGAAACTTTCTTTAAATTATAGTAAATTAATTGATATGGATCCTGAAGGTCTTTCTACAATAAAGTTTCATAATTTCACAATGCATAGTTGGAAATGAAAGTTTTTTTAAAAGCAAATACACACACATATACATAAACTAAAAAAAACATAATGCATTTCTCCTCCCCCAATCAGCAGATTACATGTTCACCAGACCACTCATTATTATCTAATTATTTACTAATGATTCAATAAGCAGTTGTCAGGCACTTTTCATAGGTTTGGAACGATGCTATTAATGCAAAGTAGCAAAAAAAGAGAAAAGTCAAGGTCCTGTGTTCAAGACAGCCTGCCATTACAGTGTACAGACAAGTTCAGTTAATACGTAATTGGTAAAATGTTCAATTCTTTACTACGCAAAGCAGACATTTCACGCTCAGGTACAGAAAGTCCCTGCCACCACAAGGGGGCAAGTGGGCTGGCATCTCAGCACCTGCCGCGTCGCCTTCACACAGCCGTCAGCAGCGCTTCAGAAGCGGCAGAGTGCCAAGACAATGCCGGCCAGCACTCTTTAAAACGGTGCAAGAAGCTGCTAGTGGCTCTACAACCCACCAGTTCTAAAGAAACAATTCTCTTCTTCAGAGCTCTAAATAATAGAACTATTGATACTTTTTCCATATCACGTGTGATTCTTACAGGGTTCTGGAATCCAACTAGCTGTGCGTGACTACTTGGGTTCACTGCAGCTTCTTGGTTGCCTGCTATGGCCTCTGGAATGATGGTTGGATTCAAGACAGCTTTTTTCTCTTTCAGATTAAGGACCAAGCCAAGTTCTGGCAAGGGCAAGCAGGAAGGTCTGCTGAGGCCAAAGAGCGTGACGTACAGGTCCACAGCGCCACACCGCAGCCTCCAATCGTGTGCCGCGCCTAGGGGCAAGCGACAGGGACACCAGGTCAGAGTGCACATCCACCCACACATCTCCACACGCCCAGAGCCTGCACCAAGGCAAGGGAAGAGGATCAGGACGGCGAAGAGGGGCCGCCTACTGACCTGGGCTCCGGGGGCAAGCCCTCTGCTGTAGAGATGCTTCCTACCCTAACACCAGGTACCTCCACACTGTCACAGAAACCATGAATGTCCTAAGGAAACAGTGAATCTTACAACTGAAAAAATCTAATTCATTCTCCTACGAAATAAAAATTAGACACCCACCACACTTAGAATCTCAAAGTAATCTGAGCACTCAAGTTTGTTTCCAGGGGTGGGGTTCATGAGGCTCTTGGCGTGCCATCTCCCCAGCATGCTATTAAAGAAGAAAATCGGCCAAAGGGAACAGGGAATGAATGGATGTGGAGCAGTCAACCGAGGAGGAAGAATTAAAAGGAAGATTTAAAGCCAGAAAAAAAAAAATACTATTTTTGGAGTATTAAGACTTATACTGGGCTTTCCTGGTGGCTCAGATGATAATCTGCCTGCAATTCAGGAGACCTGGGTTCGATCCCTGGGTTGGGAAGATCCCCAGGAGAAGGGAATGGCAGCCCACTCCAGTATTCTGGCCTGGAGAGTCCTATGAGAGGAGCCTGGCAGGCTGTAGTCTGTGAGACGGCAAAACAGTCGGACATGATTTAGCAGCTAAACAACAACTGGAACAGGTAAGTAACTGTTATACGAACTATATGCAAAGAAAATCCACATGGATTTTCAACTGTCAGAGGATTACAATTTCACAGAGTTCATACTGTATTAGGCACTTGGCGCATCATGAAACAGCTGTCAGTCTTACCTGAGACAGCTTCAATTTCGCTACTGCGCGGTAAGGGAACAACAGATACACAGCACTGCTGGAGCAAGAGGAGGCAGCAGGAGCTCTGAGAAGCATGGGCTTTTATATCACACAAACCACAGAGAAACCAGGAACGGGAGCAGTACAGAGTGAAGATGAGGAGTTTACACTGGAAACCCATTTCCTTCTCTGGAATGTCCGTACCTGGAAACTTTAATGGACTGAAATTGCCCAGTGTTTTGGGGGCCCTCGTTACTCTCCTCCTCAATGCTTTTCACACATGGAAAGGCTCCACCGAGGACAGGGGTCGGACTCCTGGACCTTCATCACAGCGGCTGGAGGGACTCAGCCCTCTAAAGAATGGAATGAAGGCTGCCGAGACAGCAAGCCCGCCGTGTCCACCACTCGGGTAGCGCAGGAAAAGATGCCCATCCCAGACACTCTATCAGTAAAGAAGCCAGAAGGGCTTAGGGTGCATTTACGACTGGAACAAGACTAAACCTTGAAGGTGAGTACTGCCCAATTATGTCAACTGCAAATAATGATTATGGAATCTTTACATACTGTAGATGACATCGAAACCAGTCAGGCAACTGAGTATGAACTCTTAAAAAGTTTTTTTAAAAAAAGCGTTATCTCAGCTTTAAAAAGCAGGTGGGAAATGTATATTCTGGTGAGCTAGGGTGTCCTGTGCCCTGAAGGTCCGCTAAGGACCGTGAGGTGGCACAGGCCATGAAGGCCGCTAAAGTCCCCAGTCCCTAGAGCAGGCGTGCTGGTACTTTGTATTTCTGTGTGGGCTTTGGGTTTGGAATGGTAAAGGTTTCAGCAGGTCTTCAATTTGGATGGAGGAAGCAGCATTATTCTATTCTTAAGAGAGGACCTTGACTGTTTTCCCCCTCCTCAAAAACCTGAGTTATAAATATTACAACTTAAGGCTGATAGGATGGAGCTAAAAAATAAGCAGTGCTTCTGTTAAAATTATAAAACAGAAAAAAATGAGAACACTGTATTTCAAAACCATGGAATAAAATCTTAAAGTGGTTGTCACTTGCCAGTGGCATTAAGTGGCAGAGTCAGAAAAGTGAACAGGAAGATCAGGACAGAACCAGCCAAACGGCAGTCACGCTTGTGAAGCCTAACTGTACACATTCCAAGCTTCTGTCACCGAAACAGAGTGACGAGTTTACTGCAAAATGTCCTTGGGACTTCCCTGACTGTCCAGTGGTTAGCACTCTAAGCTTCCACTGCAGGGGTCATGGGCTCAAACCCTTGTCAGGGAATCAAGATTTCCAAGCACAACCAAGGAAAAGAAAAATGCCCTGAAAATGGTGCCTCGATCAGCTTTAAAAGCAACCACCTCAGATAATGAAGGAATGATCTTTTCTAAGATCAGATTTGTTATCTGAGGGATTTGTCTTCAGATACTTTCTGATTTGAGCAGAGACCACTGGCCCTGAGCACTGCCTTTCTGATTGGGAGGCAGGGCTGGTCGCAAAGCATAACTGCAAATGAGAACCCAAGGTCAGCACTGCTATGAGGGGAAAGGATTACGACTCTTTTCTTGGCGCAGGGGTGGCATACATGAGTGTTCCTTGCCATTTACGTGACTGAGTTGGGAGGGGCAGCTGGCAGATTAAATAAGTCTTCAGAATGCTGCAGCTGAGGGTAAAAACCAGGAACTATCTCAGGCAATCCTCGAATCAATCTTCCCTGTCTAATGCTCAATGTTCTCCAAAAACATTAAAAAGAAAACCAAAAACCTTCTCAATTATTTGAGCCACTCCCACTGTTCACATTGTTCTGTTCCCATTTATTTATAGATCTGAAGAACAAGAGTAGAGAACTGTTTATGCCGATGGCTTCACTGATCTGTTCTGTTTAGATTATTAGCACAGAGAATTCCAAACCGAAGCAGTAACTGCGCTTTATTTTGAACACTAACAAAAATAAATACTAAACATCAATCAGAGCTTCAATTTGTACAACCACAATCTTCCAATGGAGTTCAAACGTTTTAACAGAGATTGTCCCATTAATTTTAAACACACATTTATTGTGCCCATGAAATCTTCCCTAAGAAGTGATATGCAACTTCTCCGTACTTCATTATGACTTTCTGTGAAGTTGTACTCCATCACAATCATGGAATCAAGCGTTTTTGCTAAGAATATATTCAACACAGTACAGTTCATGCCACATATTAACTGCTGAATGATCCTTTACAAATTTATGAACTTGTGTGCTCATTTCTTGGATCTAAATGACAGTAATCATAACATCCTTTTAGGTAACCACAAGCAGCAAAATATAGAACATCATGTAAACACCAGCAATCATTCTTCTAGGTACTAGGGAAAACATGAGAATAATAATTTGGCAATATTGATATAAACTGGGTTATGTGCTATTTTGTCAAGATTTTGAGGACAAGGGCCATTTTATTTTCAATTTTATTATATTTCAGTGAAATATTTACTATGGTGCCTTTACTTGGGGGTATTGTACTATGATTATGAAACTGAGGGACAGAAGTCACACAACTGCTTAACATCTATCTCAATGTTAGTAAATTAAATAATTTTTGAAAAAGAATCAGAACTTGTTATTTAGGTGGGATTCAGTGAAGTAGTCACTACTGAGATAGGCAAACAAGTTATCTTCCAATACTTTAGAGAGAAGGTAAAGTGACATATTTATTACAATGAATACCCACTGCTCCCTCACCACCTGTCTGTAGCAACTCATCTCTAAGCCAAACACTTTCAGTCTAGCTTTAGATTGAATTTTAAATCAAAACCAATATTACAATTTCAACATATCGGAGACATAAGGCAAATTTTCTCTACATATATATTATAGTTACAACCCTACAGGAAAAGATTGGCAATTCAATTAAACAAGAATGTCAGAGAATATGAACAATTTACAAAATAGGAACTACAGATAGCTCACATATATGAAAAGTACTCAACGTAATATCATCAGTATGTTAGCGTAACAACCTTTCTGAGCACTTAATATGAACTAGTCACTGCATTTTACAAATAATAACTCATTTAATTTTCAGTTTGCAGAAGTAGCTATCATCATAACTCTATTTTAAAAATGAGAAAATCATAGGCTTAGACAAATCACACTGAGAGCAAGTCATTCAGCTGAGGTTTAATCCTCAGCAAACTGATTTCAGAGCTCACGCCTGGGAGCACTGACCGCCTCCTGACTTCACTCAGATAATGTAAATTAAAACTGTGATGATGAGATACCATGACCTCCAAGGTGCAGAATGCTAACATTATATACCGCCCTGAAAAGGATACGTAAGGAATTGGTTACCTCTGGGAAAGGCCACTAGGAGGACTAGCGAAAAGAGAAAGAAGACTTATTTTTCAACCCTCTGTAAACTTCTGAAATAAAAACAAGCGTAATACTGGGCAAGTTCATGTTTATAGCTCTTTAAACATCTGAGACACTTTCACTAAATTAGCACTTTTGTTTCCTCAACTACCCTGTGGGGCAAAGTGAGTGGCTACGCCCTTAGCAGATGTTATCGCAGCCACCACTGTGAAGCCAAGAATGGTAAGTAGTCTCCTTAAAAAAAAAAAAAAAGGCCACTGCTCTCTTACCAGAATTCATAAGTTTCCAAAGTTGATCTACCAAAGCTTCATTGCATAAGGGAGACTCCATGCTCTTAGTAAAGGGTGGGTTTTTGGTCAACATATTTAGAATTTTATGTCTGAAAGATAAGGAAAAATTAAATTTTTGCTAACCGTGAAATAAAAACATTTGAAAACGATCTCAAGTTTCTCCATCTTATTTTATCACCTCTCTTCTTAGACTAAGAACTTTCTCAAACATTTAAAAATAATTCAACAGCTTGGAGTTTTTTTCTACATACAGTTGTTACTACAGAGATAAAATTACTTTTCTTTAACATATGAATTAAGTTAAACATATGTGATTAGAAGGGGAAAATATATAATAATACATATATAATAAAATATATAATATACATAACCACTTGCTTAACACATATTTAATTAATCATATACAAAGCATCATACTAAATGCAGTGGCAAATGACACAGTTCTCTGTCTTTTTAAAATTTATGTTCCCATGGGGGAATTTTTTTTTTTTACTAAAAAAAAAATTAAACTATAAAATTAATATTTATATACATGGGTAGTATGCATATACTTGGGTAAGGGAACAACTATAGGATTTTATGGACAACTATTACTTGATGAACCTAACCTAGAGCAGGGAATCAGGAAAGTATCCTTATAGAAATGATGTTCAAACTTACCTCTAAAGCATAAAGGGGTAATTATAATTAATTTGTTTCTTTTCCTCCAAATTTTAAGGTTTCAGCCCCCAAATTCTGCAGAGCTTTTATCTAACTCTAGTGATCTATCTAAATCAGTAACCCTGATATATATAATAACAAAGAAAAATTTTTTAATGTTAAAAGATAGAAATTTTAAAAATCTGTATTTTTAAAAAGAATTAATTCTTATTAAAGGCCATTTTACTATTAGGAGTTTAAAAATCAACCAAAAGCCATAAAAATAAAATGCTATATTTGAGGCAGAAGAAAGGAATGTCACTTATGTTAAGAGAGACAGAAATAGCAGAAATAGAAATGTCTGCCTATCTTTAAGACTAAGAATCCTATCCAATTACAGCAGAATACAGCAGTTCTATATGATGGTTACTCCATGAGTTTAAATAATAGAACTGATTGAAGGTTGTCAGAGGTGGGGGTGGGGGTGGGGTGACATGGGTAAATGGGGTCAAAGGGTACAAATCTTCACTTATCTTATAAAATAAGTCATGGGGTGATAATGTATAGTATGGTGACTATAGTTAGTAACACTGTGTTGCATATTTGAAAGATGCTAAGAGAACAGATCTTGAAAGTTCTTATAAGAAAAAATACTTGCAATTATGTATGGTAATGGATGTTAACCAAACTTATGATGGTGATCCATTTTTCAAAATATACAAATAGAGAATCAATATGCTATACACCTGAAACTGTCAATTATACCTCAATAGAGATAGACAGGAAGGGAGGGAGGAAAAGAGAAGGCAATGATGACAGAGAAAAGGACAAAGTTTCATTCAGAGTATAAAAACCAGAAGGGGAAAAAAACCCACAAGAAATATAGCAACTGATGTCCCAAGACACCAAATAACACACATACAATACCGTTAATGTGATAACACTCCTATCCTGTAATCATTCACTGCTATTAAAGCGTTTTAAAGACGTGCTGAATTTTTTTAACTCTAACTATGAGCTAGATGATATGAAGTAAAGCCTAAGAGATTCCCTATTGGTGATATAAACTAACTGTCTCAATTATGAAGTAAACATGTCAAATATAATCATGAATATATCTTTAGATTTTCGGCTCACAGTATAAATGTTCTTCAAACTTGAATATTAAAAATTCTACATTTCAAAAGCAATCACATTGTATAGTATCCAATTTAGAAATATAACTTCAAATATTATATAAAATGGTCTTCAGAATGCAGTTTTGATATCTCAGAAGTATGTGCCTTAATGTTAGTTCTTGATGTGAATTGAAAACATAAATGAACACATGATAAGCTATGTTTATAATTTCTGTCCCTACTTGCTATCAGGAGCATCTTTTAAACTTTCTAATGTGTCAGCTCTACCAGAGAACAGACAAGGCTGGCTTCCTGATGACGCTCTTTCATGTAAATAGGTACCTCAGAATGGGTGATCTTTCATGTTAAATAGGTACCTCAGAATGGGTGATTATGAGATTTTTGTCCACGTCAACCTGATCCTTTGTATATACATCAATCCAAGAACAAATTATTTAAAATACAATTCAGATCACAGATCAAGAACCATGAAATAAAGACACCAAAACTCTGTACAAAGAATATTTTTTAATAAGCATTGCTTAAAATGCAAGGTGACTTAACCAGGAGCCTACCACAACTAACCTGAAAAACAACTGTTGCTCAAAGCTTTCTCCGTTAGGGAGCTGGAACCTCCTTACATGTTCCTCACATCCAGATGCATGTCAGTGAGGTTAAATCTGTACAGTGTATCTGTATGCCTTTCTAGAAGAAAATATCTGCCAAATGATGTGCAAACTCGAGCAAGACAATGCTTCTAGGTCTACGTTCTTGTTTCTAGTTGGAATGGCTAAAATCTAAATTATTTTCCAGCTTTCAAATTTCATTTTATGAAATTGAATTATTACAACAAATGAACACAAATTTGAATCTATTAGGTGTAAAGAAAGGAAGATAGAAATAGTAAAAAAAAATTTTAATCCTGCTCAAATACACTATAAATATCCTACTTTGCAAAAGAAAGCAGCAGAAATGAACAAAATGAAGAGAATACAAAAATGAAAATAGTTACTAAATCAGGACTGGAATTTTATTTTCCCTTATTTTCTAAGTTTTTAACAATGTTGTATTACATTTTTTGATCCTAAATCCATTTATTAAAAATTAGGATTTTATGAGTAAGAAAAGGAACAAACGGGATACACCAAAACACTGCTCTTTTAAAACAGAGTGTATCAATTGATAAAGAGGTTTTATGATTTTTTTGATACATAAGGGATTTCCCCATGTGTATTGAAAAGGGTTACATAAGCTTTTCTTTAAAGTACAATAGAAATCATGTGTAAAATTCAGGGAATTAACTTAATAACAATATATCTTTTAAAGTATCTTTCTTTCCAAAGGCAACCCAAATAAAAAACAATATGAGTACCTGGATAAGGTACTCCTATCTATATTTTCAAAAATTAAGACTTAACTCCAATGTAAAATTTTCTGAAATTACTTACTTCATGATTTATAAAAACAAAATATTAAAGCACAAAAAAACTAACCTTACATAGGGTACAGGGTCATTCTGAATCATGTTAAGTAGCCACTGCAATTCTTCATAACTCCTGTCCACTGAAAATAAAAGCAAGGAAATGTGTCTGCTGTTCATTATGACAAGTTAAACAAGTGACAAACAAGTTCACACTCGGTATCTGGGGCTCCGTCTCAGCCAGGTTTCCAATCGCAATGAAGGATGCAGGCAAGTTCTCACATTTTTAATGCAACAGGCTACTTTGCAGACTTTACAAGTATTGTGCTATCTGTGTAGTCAAAACATAAAAAACAGGACCAAGAGCGGATTTCCCACTTAGGCTCTCAATGGCAAATACAACATAAAACAAAACTGTAATTTATTAGAGCCCTGTATCAGAGATGAATAACTCTGGTGACCGGAAATGTGTTTAAATAGAATTATGCTTCTAGATGCTCAAATCACAGAAGTTTGATATTCAGTGGTATCTCAATTAAATCACACAGTAAACTGCTGCTGCCCAAGTGGTTTTTCCATTTAAGAGCAGCCTTAACTTTTCAATACAACATAAAAAACAGCTGTAAAACTAGTATTATAACTAACTTTAACAAAATTCACTAGCTATTTCCATTTACCTTTTTAAAAACTATTATATTTATGATTTGAAAACCTTTATTTTCAGAATTTAATTTCTAATATTTTCCATTCTTTTCCTCTTCTAGTGAACTGGATTTATGGTACACCTTTAAACATCTTTCAATTAAATCATACTTACTAATTTAGCATTCTTTTGGAAATCATAATATTAACATTCTACTTGATTTCAGGTAGTACTAATTCATGAAAACTTCCTCTTTATGAGACAGTGAACATTATTTGTATACCTTGGCTGGGAATAATGGCCTATTTAGTGAATCTCAGAATATCCAGATTTTACAAATTGGTAAAAGTCAAAATAAAATTGAAAACTGACACAGGATTACATTTTTTTCTTGCTAAGAAATATATGAAAAAACATTATCTTTACCAGAAGTCTTTGAAAGAAAATTTTAACCCTCAACAAAAAGGAAGAACAAATGACAGCCCTTGTTAAACTTGGGTCAACATATATAAGACACACACTATATTGTTCTTACCCTGTTACAATGTCTTTTGAGAAGTAGTATTCCTAATAAAATTTACACAAAAATGTAAGGATTTGAGTGTATTTTCTTCTACTTAATATGTAAAATTTAAGCAATCCTCTCTTCACACAGTAAGATACAAAATTACCATAACTTCTTTATTCCCCACATTTTAGTATAATCTGGAACTTTAGATTTATACTTTTCTTATTTTTGCATATTATTTTTTAAGAACTATGTTTTGAAATTTGCATTAAATTTTATATGTTAACAAGTATTTAAGCTTAGCGCTCTATTTTACAGGCACAGATGCCTGGCATTTCACTGGGAATTTCATATCACACTTTCATCAATCTTGAGTTATTACTTTGGTTCACCTCCAGATCAGCTGAAAATTATCTTTGGGAAAAAATTTTTTCAGCACTCCATGGCATGCAGAACTTCCCCAACCAGGGGTTGAAACTGTGCCCCCTGAATTGAAATAATGAATGGGGACCACTGGATCACTGAGGAAGTCCAGGAATTTTAGTTTTTAAAAATATTACATATAGGAGACGGTCTTCTAAGTCTTCAAGGATACATGAACAACAATTTAGCAAAGCAGAGAATCTTAGATCATAACTTTCCCTAAACATTATGTTGGCCTGTGCTCACTGTCTTTTGAATTTTTTATACTCTGAAGAATTGATAGGCTACATTATTCTTTTACCTTGTACAATAAATGCGTTCTGACACTTCTAGGAATAGTTAGAAATTTACAGACTTCCTTAATCTTAAAATTTTAAATTTCATCAGATTCTAGCTTAGGTCAGTCTCATTTACACTCTTTCAAAGTATCCTATTATTTCTTGGATAATAGGGTATAATTTATCTATTATTTTCTTCCACCTATTATTCTTCATGACAATTTAAAAAAAATATTTTCATCTCCTTAACTTTCCCCTCTGTACTTCTGAAAATGTTCTGAATATGTAATATTCGCTTATTCACTTTTTTCCTTTTTTTTCTTCTCTAGCTTCACAAAGACATGCTTAAACCCCCTCCTGAAGTTCCCACTTACACCTCTTCCCCCGCTCCCCAATATTTATTTATTGGCTGTGCTGGGTCCTCCCTGCAGCATGTGAAACTCAGCTTCCTGAGCAGGGATGGAAGCCAGGCCCCTGCACTGGGACCATGGGGTCTCAGCCTCGGGACCACGGGGGAAGTCCCCGACTTTTAGCTCTTCTTAGACTCTCACGGAGAAAACTTGACAGGTACAAAATGTTTTCTTGAGTCCTTATATAATTTAAAATAACATGTTAATTAAGGCTACAGAATGATACACAGACTTCTTGGAAAGACCAAAGGTATTTATCTATAATTTTATTCTTTTCTCCCATTTACAAATTCTTATATGAATTCTGTATTTACCAAAAATTCTAAATCAGTGAGTTAAGAATTAAAAATCAAGATATTTGTATTACACATACTATGAAAATCCTAATGACTAAATAGTAAACAATTCATTCTAAAATGATATGAGCATATATTTCTAAAGCATTACCTTTAGTGTAATCAACCACCGCTTCCAAAGCTGCTATTCTAATGTCCACAAAGTGGCCATATTCTGCGTAAGATTTAAAAAGAGATGGATCACTGGGCACATGTCCATTCTTCTGAAGCACTCGTATGGCTCTCAAACAACTAGGAAAATAGCATTTATAGTTAAATACTTCTCTTAAAGTATTTGAATTAAACTTATTTCCTAGGAATATAAAATAATCTGTAACAATAAACTAAAAAATTGATGTAATCTGAATCATCTTTTTATTTTAACACTCAGTTTTTATAATGATCCTAAAAACTATTAAAAGAAAACATATTTCAAAACTTAGGAAGTCCAATTTCAGGTATCATTATATTTATAATAGGAACACACTACAGAAAAATGTATTTAGCATAAAATATAACTTAAATAAAGTACTCTAAAAGTTTTAGTGATACAAATATGCTTTATTCACTAACATATATGGAAAGCTGAGACTTTATACTGATGAATCGGTAAATCAACAATTTTTTTTAGCAAACTCCTAATGAAACAGATAAAAGCTGTTGATAGTCATGTACAACAAATTTGAGAGAAGCAAAAAAATCTTAAAAGAAGCCTAAAAATAGAGGGGTGTTTAAACTATATCCAATGGGATAAAAGCTTATGCAGATATCAAATATAATACTTATGAATAATTCATGATGACATGAGGAAGTGTTCATGATATAAGTATATGTCAAAAGTTAAAAATTGATATAGTTATCACAGGAAAAAATTTAGAAGTCCTCCAAAAGAGTAATAATTTACCTATGGATGGTAGACTCATATAAGATTTTTTTTACTTTATTTCTCTATTTTCTATGAAAATAAACTTCTCTAATAATTATGAAAGCAAGTAACATTAAGAAGCAAATATGAAGAATCATTATACCTGACAGTGATGGTGTGCCTGTAACTTGGAAGAAGTTTTTCCATATTCAAAAACCTAGTGATTTCTTCAAGAATGAGTCGCACATCCGGATTTAAGTTATCCAAAGTTCGAACTTCATTATTCACACTGACTGCAGGCGTAACAGAGTTGGCAAGGGCATCGATCATCTCTGCGCGGTAATAGTTGTCTGAAAACTAGGCCCAGAGACAGTTACGAGATGATGATAAATTTACACTTCTTTTCAAAAGTGAATGAAATAAAACACAGTAACTGTAAAAACATAAGTTATCTGCAAAGACAAGCAAGTTTTTAGGTTAAGTACTCAACTCTGTCCTTTGGCATAGACTCACATATTGGAAAAAAAGAGTGAAAGAGATTTACTTAATAGTAACACACTAGCTACTAGGACATGGACAACAGACTGGTTCCAAATAGGAAAAGGAGTACGTCAAGGCTGTAAATTGTCACCCTGCTTATTTAACTTATATGTAGAGTACATCGTGAGAAACGCTAGGCTGGAGGAAGCACAAATTGGAATCAAGATTGTCAGGAGAAATATCAATAACCTCAGATATGCAGATGACACCACCCTTATGGCAGAAAGTGAAGAAGAACTAAAGAGCCTCTTGATGAAAGTGAAAGAGGAGAGTGAAAAAGTTGGCTTAAATCTCAACATTCAGAAAACTAAGATCATGGCATCTGGTCCCATCACTTCATGGGAAATAGATGGGGAAACAGTGGAAATAGTGGCTGACTTTATTTTTTGGGGCTCCAAAATCACTGCAGATGGTGACTGCAGCCATGATATTAAAAGACGCTTACTCCCTGGAAGGAAAGTTATGACCAACCTAAAAAGCAGAGACATAACTTTGTCAACAAAGTCCGTATAGTCAAGGCTATGGTTTTTCCAAGTGGTCATGTATGGATGTGAGAGTTGGACTGTGAAGAAAGCTGAGCACGAAGAATTGATGCTTTTGAACTGTGGTGTTGGAGAAGACTCTTGAGAGTCCCTTGGACTGCAAGGAGATCTAACCAGTCCATCCTAAAGGAGATGAGTCCTGGGTGTTCATTGGAAGGACTGATGCTGAAGCTGAAACGCCAGTACTTTGGCCACCTGATGCAAAGAGCTGACTCACTGGAAAAGACCCTGATGCTGGGAAAGACTGAAGGTAGGAGGAGAAGGGGATGTCAGAGGATGAGATGGTTGGATGGCATCACCGACTCAATGGACATGAGTTTGGGTGGACTCTGGGAGTTGGTGATGGATAGGGAGACCTAGTGTGCTGCGATTCATGGGGTTGCAGAGTTGGACACAACTGAGTGACTGAACTGAACTGAACACACTAGCTTACCTTACGAATGTTTACTACATGTAAGGCACTCTCAATAGTAATCTAGCCAGATACGTCTAAAAGGAAGACCGCAGTTCACAAATTCTGCTGGCAATATAGAGTTTTGAATCAGCTGTTTCTGTGTTCCACTCTCATCTAAGACAAGGGTCACCAGATATCTGAAAAAAGCATCAACAGAAAGAGAGACCAGAACAAAGCAGGGAAAGCAGCTTGGAGGAAATAAAAAGTATACAAAGAAAAGAAAACCAGTAGAGGGAAGAAAATTCAAAAGCTGTCATTAACAGAGTTTGAGAAGTAACCAATGATATGCCTTCCAACAGAATACTACATGTTTAAGAGAAAGAAATATGCAGGGAATCAGAATCAAAATTAAATTGGAATATAAAATTGAAAAAAAAAAAACCTCGAAATTTTGAGCAAAAAAGTTAAAAAATAGGAAAGAAAGCACAAGGAAGCTGGACGCCTGGTGTAGAAGACATCAATAAGAGTTGCAGCAAAAGCAGAGAAAATGGAGGAATCTATCCCCCAAAATGAACAAAAATTTCTAAATCCATATCCCAGTCAGCTCCAAGAAGACAAATTTAATTGAAAGCAATCCAGGTGTGGCCTGATTTAAACTCAGCAAATCAGATGTACTGGCCTAGAAATTTGAACATGGAGCAAGCAAGTTAATTCTATCAGCAGGGTTATTTGTATTCAGAGATTACTTAAATAATGTTTGTAAGTTTTCCGCAAGTATATTTACAGCTCCATTGGTACTGTGGATAACGACTTCCTCTCCAGAAATCTGTGTCCACACACCCCCACGTTAGCAGTGATAAACCTAGCTGCTGCCGTGCTGGGCGTCCTCCTTAGGCTGAACCCTGCGGCCCAGCACCGGACTGCCGCAGGCACAGCTCGTCTGCAGTCTCCTGTTTGTTCCTGGCTGCTCTGTGCAGGAAGCAGGTCCTTCGTTCCCCAGCCAGGTATGAACCTGAACCCCCGGCAGTGAAACCGTGGAGTATTAACCACTGGACCTTCAGGGAAGTCCCAAATATATGTTTAAATGAAATGTGAGATGGCAACTGCTATGCCTTCTTTTTCTATTTAACATGGTATACTGCCTAGCATAGGAAAAACTCTCAAAAACACTTGCCAACTGTTAGAATGATAATGAGTAAGGTCAAATAACTTTTGAAGCATGACATTCAATAGCTATTTATTAAACTGAATAGAACACACATAAAAAAAAGAAAAGAGTCAAATTCATCAACGAACAAGTTATCCAAGAGGAACTGTTTTCTGATAGAAGAAAAAAGCAGTAAGAATAAAATTGCGGTGTCAGATTTCACCAAAACAAACATCAGCTGAGTTCCCAAAATTTGATGTGCTACTCTCTCCACATTATAACAGGTAAAAGGAACATTTAAAAATCAACCAATCTTGGTTTTCAGATATCTGGTTATTATAATAAATCATATTTGTATGTTTCTATCTCTAGAAATTTCAAGCCCCACGGACACAACAATGATTTCATAGTCTAAATATTTCTCTGAAAACAAAGTTTCACTGGCTAGTTTTATTAACATTAAAGTAACATACCTTATTTTTTCTGTTGTCATTGTACTTGATTAAGTCTAAAATAAATGTTAAGACTTCTTTGGGACAAAGGTTGTGAACATCTCTCAGTAAGGCCATTGCAACTGGCATAGTCTAGAAGAAAAATTTTGTTTTCAATTTTCATCACTATAATTCAGTGCAGTGCATGCTGAAAAAGGGTTGCCCTGGGGCTGACAAAGCACCTGGAGGGAGTCCAGGCGCCCAGCCCCCCGGCTCCTACCCCTCCCACGGGAAGAGGCCTCAAACGCTCTAGCAAGAGAGCTGAGCAGGAGCCCCAGGGGAGAGCCGCAGAGCTGGGGGCACTCAGCAGCCCCCTGCGGGAAGAGGGACACGCCACACAAATGCAGCTCTGCGATCTACAGAGGAAAAGGGGTGCATGGGTTTTAGCATCAGACAGACCATATTCAGTCTGTACCCCACTGCCTATAAGGGGGCTTATTTCAGCTAGCTGCTTGCTGAGCACCACTTTCAAGGTTAACAGATACAGTGGCTAGAGGCATATGGCAGACAGCAGAACTCAACTACTAGTCTCAAGACACACAGACTCTCCAGTACCACCTTGTTCTCAGCCTAAGGAAAAACGGTAAATTACCTGAAATCCAACTTCCCCCTTTTCAAATTTTCATAGACAAGTTTTCTAAGGAGGTGGAAGCCTAACCCACAGAGGTAACCTCTACTAGAATAGCAGAGCAGAGCTATTCCAACTCAAGATACAACCACAAACAATGGACATCACAGTCCCCAGTACAGAGAGATTTGAACTATTTTCTCTTCTGATCAAAATAACTATACCCTCTAAACTGGTGGACAAAACGTAGCGTGGCTCCTTTGATAGATTGAAGGCGCAGAAGCAGCAGATGGTCACTGTTCCAACAGGTGTTACCAAGGCTGTAAGAACTGAGGGCAAGATTCTATTTCACAGACACAGGACTTAAATTTAAGCATGAATCTTCATTCTTTTCTCTGGCACTGCAAGTATTATGTGAAAGGTGAACTGGTCTGGAAGCACTGGCTTCTCCAATTTTTTTTGACTGCAAACCACATTAAGAAATATGTTTATATTCCAACTGAACACATACACAGAGTCACATATACAAACTAAAAAATAAAACCAAAACAACTTATACCTACCCTTATTACATATGTTGCATTCTGATACTGCCTATTGTTTTGTTTAAAAACAAAAACAAAACAACTTACAAACTGATTTCATGACTGCCTGACTAATGGGTCACAACTCCCACTCTGCACAATGACCCAAGGCCCATGGAATAACAAGGGCAGAGCGAAGGGGACGTGCTCCACAGGCACGGAAATTAACTTGCTTCCAGGCCACACGTTAGTGAAGCGGCAATAACAGAGCTGGGCAACACGTTCAAGGACTACGAAAGGCTCAGCTGATAAACAGCAGACGCCTCAGGCTTCTTTGATCGCACCAACACTGGCTTTCCTCACACCCAGGTCTCCTGAGTCGGCTCTGCTGATGACATCCACTGCAGAGGCGTCATGACTCCCACGGTCCCACGGCTGAGTAACCCTTGCCCACCTCCCTCCTGCACACAGACTGCCCCTTGCTTCACACCCCCCTCAACACCTACCACTCCATTTAATCTGGTTCCTACTTGCCTCAGAAAATGGGATATTTTTATCTTTTCTAAAATCAACCTTCCAACTATGTCCTGCCCACTACTAACAACTCTAGAATTTGCTCTATCTTGTCTTTTTCGTATTTACTTGCTTCCACATGAACATTTCATCTGCTCCACTGGTTCTTCACTTTGTGCCAGACATGCCTCAAGCCTTTTCTCCCTCTACACAAAATAAAACCTAAAGTGCCCTTTCTCAGCCTTGCTTTATCCTTAACATATCTCCTTTTCTCATACTACTCAACTTTACTCCTCCTTCTAGTTCAATCCAGTTAATCTAACCTCTGCCTTCGTTATTATTAAGTTACTCAAAATATTTCACAAGTGATTTCCAAGTTGTCCAAACACTGACCACCCCGCCAATCCCACACCGCTTCCTGAACAGTGACTTCATCACACCACCACTTTTTAAATTACCATTTATAAACAACTTACTATGTGATAAAAATATAGTGTAAAACCCTTCACATGCTTGATATTACTTAATTCTAAAAAAGATAAACTTTACAAATGACTAAACCAAGGCTTAGAGTTGAAAGACTTGTCCTCTTGCAAACTGCCAGTGAGTAGAAGAGCCAGGACTAAACCGGAGCTGTGTGCTGCACTGTCGCTGACCCAGAAATGCTGTCCACACTCGACAGGGACAGCCATCAGAAGGACTTGTGTGTACCTCCATCCCCCAGGGAGCCAACCAAAAAGTCAAATCATCCACTTCTTACTTATACCTCCATCCCCCAGGGAACCAACCAAAAAGTCAAATCATCCATTTCTATTGACTTCAGTATTAATGTGGACAGTGAGTCACTTGCACACAGTTCATAAAACCAAAGAACAATCAAAACTTTGGAAAGTATTTTAGAAGCAAAAAGAGAAAAAAGACAAAATAATCTGTGAGAAAGTAAATAATATTCGAAGAGTCCTCAAGGTAAATGAATACATACTGATACTGGCATAAAATAATTATAAGAAAACTAGAAGGGCAACTGTACCTTCTGTAGAAAGTAACTTTGAAAGCTCATAAAGTTGTTTGTTTTCACAATGTTTGGACAAGTTTTACAACAAAACATCCTAGTAAAGAGCGACTTCATGGCTGGTGGTCCTGTCCATGTGCTCACCATTGAATTTGCAATCTGCAAATAATTAGAAAATGGAATAATTTCCATCACCATGGCAAATGTATTTTTAAATAAATAAAATAGCTTTCTGAAAGTTATCAATATACTGGATTCATTTCCAAGGATTTCAATTCTTAAAACTTTAATATATTTCAGCATCTCACTATCATTTCCAAGAAAATATATAAACTCACCCCTCCTAAAATTCTATGTACGTGTGTAACTATTTTCTATTAGTTAATCTCTAAATTGGAGCATTCTTTTTACGTTTTAAGAAATCTTGTTTGCAAAGACTTCTAAATTTGTCCATTCAGGCAGATAAGTTCTAATATTTTAATCAGACAGAAACATCACCATGCACTTTAAATAAGGCTTTTAACTCTACTCTAACTGAAAAATAATACAAATATAGGCCTACCACTTAAATCTGTAAGAACACATTACAAAGAAAATACATCTTGTTTTTGATACTTTGAAAGTGAAAGTTGCTCAGTCGTGTTTGACTCTTTGTGACCCCATGGACTGCAGCCTGCCAGGCTCCTCTGTCCATGGAATTCTCCAGGCCAGAATCCTGGAGTGCGTAGCCTTACCCTTCTCCAAGGGATCATCCCAACCCAGGGACTGAACCCAGGTCTCCTGCATTGCAGGCGGATTCTTTACCATCTGAGCCACCAAGAAAGCTAATAGTGTATAAAAACCATAGCTGAAAAGAATGAAATTATAATTAACTTTAAATAACACAGGCTATAATTTTACGGATTTGCTAAGGATTTAGCATGTGAGAGCTACAGGAACTTTACAGAAGCAATAAAATTACACCCTCAGCAGATGATTATCAAAGAAAATCATATTGTCCCTTATATATCTGAGTAGATAAAGGGGTCTAACTACTCACTCTTTACCATTAAAGTGAAACAAATATAAATCATTATAATCTGCTGAAATGCTGGACAAGTGGATATAGCAGTGAGGAAAGCAAGAGAGTCAATACATGGGAATGAACTCATCATCAAGATGCTTTTAAAGACCTGGAACCCAGTATTTCTGGTCAAATATCTGTCAGCACTTTTTGATTTTCATTTATTCTATCATCAAATGTTTCTTTTCTTTTTGGGGGGATCTAAAGAAAAATATTTACTTTTCTTAATAAATTAACTTTTGTAGAATGTTAAATGATAGAATCTATCCATATCCCTATACTGAATACTAAGCTCTAACCAACAAGAAATCACCACCATAGTGGGATAAATTAATGAATGAATGAATCTCATGTACCATAAGGTAAAACATCCCTCAAACCAAGGAACTGCTTACATTTTTGCTTTAACAATGTGCAGGGCAATTCAATAAAATGGGGAAAATTCTCTTTGGTTTTGAAATCTTTCAGTTTGACAGTCACAAAACTTCAGTGCACAATTTATCTTCAGGTCAAAACATGTTTCTTTCAAATCGGCCTTGTTAAAAGAATGTGGCAAAGGAGACCGATCACACCAAGTAAAATGAAAGACTGCAGAGAAGTTTAATTCCTCTTCAGGGTTGTTTTTTTTAAATGCACTAGTCATCTTATTTTCTTTCCATTGTACATAATGTCACCTTTGCAAGGCAGAAGCAGGCAGACATCCTCACTCGGTAGAAACACTGCTCCTGCTCCAGTATGTCCGTGAGGGCAAGCCGGGACGCAGGAGTGGGGAACTTCTCCAAGGCCGAGATGGCCTCCTGCTGGGCGACCACGTCCCTCTCGTAGCGGAGCTGGTACTGCCACATGAAGTCCGCCTGCTCAAACTCCACCTTCCGCAGCACCGCCATGTCCGGGTCGATCCTTATCCACAGCAGAGGGGAGTCAGCACTGAAAGCAGAGAGCAGGCTCGTTTCCTTATTTTCCACTTCATATATTTATAAAATAAACACACAGCATTTATTAACCGGATTGTCTTCTCCGTGCTGTATTCAAAACTGCCTGGAGTTTTACTATATTCGTTTTTTTTTTTAATCACACCGACAACTTTCTCATTATATCTAATATGAATTTCAAGTTTTATATGTCTAACCTATATCAATCTTGCTGAAACAAAAAAATCCACCTGAAAAAATAATTTGGGGACTTTATTAGTGACTACACAGTGTGAAAAGGGAAAACGGGACCAAATTTCTTCATTTTATTTCCTAAAGCTTAACACCTGACAATGGTTACAAACGCCACTCTATTAGAAATCAATCTGTGACTGAACTTACTTCTTATTAATTTACTAAATTAATTTGTTTCACTGACTTTTAATATTTTTTAAAAATGCTAGTCTCATGATGATCATTATCAAATAGAAAGTCCTGAAATCATAGTTCAGAGGCACAGCACAAATTTATCCTCAGGTAGTTCTCAAAGTCACAAACACAGTTTTGAAAAAACCAGTCTCTTTTAACAAAAGAACAGCACCTGAAATATTGATACAATTCAACAAATACTACTGGGTACTTAATATACGTGAAACACTTGATATGAAAAGATTATATAAGCTGTGTAATAAACAGCAGTGATATTTGGTACCCAAGTGAGTGAACAATTACAGATATTTTATATTTTTATAAAGCACTTATATATTTTTATAAAATACATAGGCATTAAAAAAATACACAGGCACAATATGGATGGGCAAAATGAAGTTTGAGCTACATTATATTTAAAAATAAAATGCTGTCAATCAGTAAATGTCACCACAAAAAATTTACAATGATATTTAAATTGCTTTTTGCAAACAAAGGAGGCCTCACAGTGCCCTGAGGCTCTGTCCAAAAACCAAGAAAACCAGTATCATCAGACAGTTTACTGGAAATGCAAGCTGTCAGGACTCAACAAGTGAAATGCTGGATCAGAAACTAAATTCTAAGGATATCCCCAAGTACTGTACAGGCACTTCAGCTTAGAAGCACTTCTCTAGAGACCACCGGTGAAGCAAGAAAGCTAATTCAAGGCTATTTCCTCTGAATTTTATCTGGATCAGACTAGATTTACTTTTCTCTCTTTGATTAATTATAATTTTATGTTTGATCTGTTATCAATGTAAGGGTTCTTTTGCCTTTTGAAAGTTTTAACGGCACCAATTTCAGAACATTTACATACTTTTAGACGTATATTATAAGACAAATGAGAATGCAGAAAATATTGTATCTTTGAATTTAAGTAACTAACTTACTCCATTGCAGAAAGATCCATGTCAACTTCTTCGCCATTCATCAGTGGAATTTTTTTCTTCTTATTCCTACATTTAACGAAAAGTAAGTTCGAAAATTCTGACATTTCCAATTTTGACAAGAGGTAAAGAGCAGCTGAAGTTCAAATTAAAAATAGCATGTAGTGTTGAAAGATATTCTAAGGAGGAAGAGATGGAAAATATAATGGAATTTAAACACAACAAAACCTATCTACTTTGAAACTGAAGAGGATGAAATAAACGATATTAAAAGGTCTTCCTGATCAATGTTTAACAAAAGTCAGAAATATCTAATTAAAAGTCAGCTTAAAACATATACATATTTCAAAGAACCACTACCTGGAAATTTTATACAAGAAGGTAAGAGATCTACCAATAAAGAAATGCTTTATTAAAAAAAAACAACACAGGCCTGAATTTAGAGATGAGTAATTCTGAACAACTGCTGTACATGCAAGGTGCGACCCTAGATGAAACGAAGTAAGAAGTTAACTACAAAACATCCTCACAGGATGAATTAACATGCATAATTAATTAATATGCACAAGATTTATGATGAGCCAAAACAAAAGCAACTGCCTCCGTGCAAGTTACTCCTGAACAATTAAATCTTCTGGACACTACACTAAATGCATGGTCACGTGAGGACAAATACAAATGGGAAGAGAGAGCACAGGCTTCTTGTGTTCCTCATGACCTGCTGTTATTACGGAGAAAATAAAACTAAGGAAATGTGATGAAAAGCGTAGCAATCAGATGCTCCCAATGTCAAAGGTGAACAGAACAAAAAGAAGAAGGATCTCCTTTGAACTAAGAAAGAATTTTCACAGAGAATGATTACAGGGAGACTTCAGAAACAAGTTCTCTAAAGGACTCAAAATCAACTGACATGCTTGTCTGTTTGAGATGACCTAAGTGCAGTCATGAATAAAAAACTTTTGTTCCTAAAATTCTGACATTGATACACACTCCTCCAGCAAAGAATAAAAATGTTCTCATTTTTCACTAGTCGGAGTATGTGCTGAGTTAAAAAAAAAAAGTGGTAAAGAAAAAGCATATTAAATAAAAGATGAACTACTGCTGGCAATGTGCCTTAGAAAGACATCTGGGTTGTTCCTAAGGTCATGGTGACATGGAGAAAAGGGAGGGTAGACACGGGAAGAGAACGCAGGGGCTTTTTCATGACATATGTACTCAGCTCCTTTCTTTAGAGTCAATGTTCATTTCCCCCAAATTTTCTATAGCTATTAATCCAATGAGATTAGGAAGAACAACCCTAAGCAATCTGTCCTGAATTTTTCCTGGCTCCCAAAACTCAAACTTCCATTCTACCTCCCCCTGTTCCTACAAAATAAGGATTCTCATACTTAAATTTTAAAATTAATTGTTTAATTCTAAGGATAAAAATGTTGTCAAGAACAGAAATGCTAACTTGAAGTAAAATGGGGAAAAAAGATGGTAGGTATCACGTCCTCCACCTAACAACTTGGGGTTCTACTGTGGAGGGCGCCTACCTCCTGCTTTTGGAATGGCAAGGGATGTCGTGCTTGAGGCTGTTCTCTTCGATCTGCAGGGTGTGGTTGAAGGACCCGTCCAGCTCCTGTACGGTCACTTTCAGCGGCCCCTTTAAAAAGAAACATGCTGTTCAAAGACAGTGCTAGGAAAAGAAAAAAGAACACAAACAAATCATGTGTTCTCTTACAGGCAAGGAACATTCACCAAGATATTCAACAACACTGTGTAAGACTTGCATGTGCAGGCTCAGAAGGGCAGCTGGTGCCAGAGGGGGGAACTGGGAGACACTGTTTCCCCAAGACCTCTGTAAGCAAGCCCTCCTTCCCTCACTGACACTGGGTGTTTGCTCAATTTGTCTTTGCAAACGAAATCTCATTATGAAAGTTCCAACCAGCTCCTCACCCATAAGCCCTTCCTTTATTTAAACTGGGCAGAAAGTGGTGCAGAAAGGCCATTCTGGAAAAAAAACTTACCACATATTTCTGGGTTCCAGGAGATGTATAATCTTGTTTTATTTCCAGTTCTAAGACATTTCGCTTTCTATTAAAGGCAAAACTTCCGTAAAATTTTACCACTCCGCTCTGGTCTCTGAAGAACTGTAAAGGAATCTTTGCAAACTGGAATGAACACGTACTAAAAAAAATAAATTATTCATTAGGGTCATCATAATTTTCAAACACATTCCCATCAGTTCAAAGCTTAAGAGCATACTCCACTGTAAACCAGGTGGCAAAGCATTCAAAATTCCTGTGAAAAATGTTTTCCCAGATTTAAAAGAAAAGATCTTTCAAAAAAAGTTTTTTTGAAAGAAGCAAAACCACTCCACAGGGTTATTAATATAGAAAGTGCTTTGAAATGAAAAAATGTAACGACCGAAAAGTTCCAAGAGAGCATGCAAGCTGTGCCAAGCCCCAGCCACACCTAAAAGCCATCAGACCGCTGCATCTTACAGTGACCCTGCAAGCCTGTCCGCCGGATCATTCACCTCCCTCATCATCAAGCCTACTGCTGCACCACATACTAAAAGGTACTTTAAAGTAAGCTAAACTTCACGAGTACAGATGTGCATGGATGTGTGCACCTCAGTGTCTAGCTGGCACCTCCGAGGAAATGATTTCAGTCCCTGGTAACATCTACCATCATTTGCCTCCTTTTATCCTCCAGAGCTCTTCCTTCTTCCCCTTATACAAATAACCTTCCCTCCTTCACTCAACTACTGCTGAAAAGGATACACCCACTGCTTTATTAAAGGCTGGATGTCTTTGCCAGAGACGTTCGAAATGGATTTCAAAAATCCAGATGTGGAAACCAACATCTGACTCCACATATGTGACTGGAACTTCTGAGATGAAGCAGTACTAGCCAAACTTAGCAGTTTATTGAAAACCTGTAAGAAAGCATCATTTAGCGTGTCTGTGTAACACAATTATACATTGCTTTCAATTCTGTACTAGTCCCACTTTGCAATGTAAGTTTATTATAAACAATCATAGAAGACAACAATTTCACATCTTATTTCATAGACTTCATAGTCTTAGTTAAAAACTATGAGCAGTAAAGCATGAAAAGATTTAAACAGCCAGACTACAAAACTATTCTTCTAAACATAACTGAATTTTAATGATGTCCTGGCCAGACAATGACACTGTGTTTTTAGGAACTATAATAATATACATCTATAATGTACTGTGCCATGAGCTTTAAGAAGCTGAGAACCTTCATGTGGATTTATACCACTCTAAGAAGTGGACTGCCTCTTTACAGACCACCTCTCACTTGATGCTTGTTCTTCAAAGGCAAGGTGAAGGGTAGATTCAAGAAACTTAATTTTGAGGCAAATTTAAAATGCTTTTTCAAAGATTACTACAAAGTTATTTTTCATTTACCTCTAAGAATATCATCAATGGAAAAAAAAAAAAGGCCAAGCATTTATAATACAAGTGGCTTCTATTACCTCAACTAGAACATCTCCACGAGTTCCATCAAAGCTTGCTTAAACATAAGGGAGAACTTAGCAACAGAAAAAATTAACATCTTTTGAATAAATTTGCTTTTTTCTGCTGAAAATATATTCCTCTTTAACATTCTAAATAATGCCAAACACAAAATCCTAGCATAACTAGGTTTTATTTTTAACCTCACATTTTAATCTTATCTTCATAAAAACCCTGCACTGCATGGATCAAGTATTGATACCCACTCTACATCTGGGGAAACACAAACAAAAAGAATACGTTAACTGGCACAAAACCAGAAATACAGATCAAAGGAACAAGATAGAAAGCCCAGAAACAAACGCATGCACCTATGGGTACCTTATCTTTGACAAAGGAGGCAAGAACATACACTGGGCCAAAGCCAGCGTCTTCAATAAGTGGTGTTGGGAAAACTGGACAGCTATGTGTAAAGAGTGAAATTAGAACACTTCCTGACACCATACACAAAGATAAACTCAAAATGGATTAAAGACCTATATGTAAGACCAGAAACTATAAAACTCTTAGAGGAAAACATAGGCAGAACACTTTATGACATAAATCAAAGCAAGATCCTCTATGACCCACCTCCTAGAGTAATAAAAATAAAAACAAAAGTCAACAAGTGGGACCTGATTAAACTTAAAAGCTTTTGCACAGCACAGGAAACTATAAGCAAGGTGAAAAGACAACCCTCAGAATGGGAGAAACTAATAGCAAATGAAACAACTGATAAAGGATTAATTTCCAAATATACAAGCAGCTCATTCAACTCAATACCAGAAAAATAAACAACCCAATCAAAAAATGGGGAAAAGACCTAAACAGACATTTCTCCAAAGAAGACATACAGATGGCTAACAAACACATGAAAAGATGCTCAACATCACTCATTATTAGAGAAATGCACATCAAAACTACAAAGAGGTATCACCTCACACCAGTCAGAATGGCCCTCATCAAAAAGTCTACAAACAAAAAGTGCTGAAAAGGGTGTGGAGGAAAGGGAACAGTCTTGCACTGTTGGTGGGAATGTAAATTGATACAGCCACTATGGAAGATGGTATGGGGATTCCTTAAAAAACTAGGAATAAAACCACCAAATGACCCAGCAATCCCACTCCTAGGCACAGACCCTGAGGAAACCAAAATGGAAAGAGACATGTGTATCCCATTGTTCACTGCAGCACTATTTATGATAGCTAGACCATGGAAGCAACCTAGATGTCCATCAACAGATGAATGGATAAAGAAGTTGTGGTACATATACACAACGGAATATTACTCGGTCATAAAATGGAATGCCTTTGAGTCAGTTCTAATGAGATGGATGAACCCAGAACCTATTTTACAGAGTGAAGTACGTCATAAAGAGAAAGATAAACTTTGTATTCTATCGTGTATGTACGGAATCTAGAAAAATGGCACTGAAGAATTTACTTACAGGACAGCAATGAGAAAGAGACACAGAGAACAGACTATGGACGTGGGGAGAGGGGAGGAGAGGGTGAGATGTGTGGACAGAGTAACCTGGAAACTCACATTACCATATGTAAAATAGACAGCCAACAGGAATCTGATGTATGGCTCAGGAAACTCAAACAGGGACTCTATCACCTAGAGGGGTGGGATGGGGTGGGAGGTGGGAGGGAGGTTCAAAAGGGAGGGGATGTGTATATATCTATGACTGATTCATGTTGAGGTTTGACAGAAAACAACATAATTCTGTAAAGCAATTATCCTTCAGTAAATAAATTTAAAAAAAAAAAAAGAACAGTTTACTTACTGGACAAACAGCTAATTAGTAACTGAACTTCAGCTATAAAGCCAGAGGCCCTGATTCCTAGTCTACAGAATACTATTCAGATTATATGCATATAGAACAGATCTTTCTTTACAATTATTAAGTTCTTTAATACTTACTTGCAACATAAATTCCATACTGATCCTATTTTCAATCAATCTCATCACAAGGTGAGCTTTACACTGAAACATAGTGTAGTATTCCCAGGAGAGCGTATGTGGATGCTTTATGGAGAAGTGTAGATGGGACGCTGGGCTAAGAAAACAGATTTTCTTAGTTAGTGTCACAAATCTGAATGAAGTAAATAATAAATTTCACGGATGTATCAAGATACTAAGTCAAAAACCTCATGGGAATACCTGAGAAATTCCTTAGCGTGAGATCAACGAAGACTAGGAAACATCTAAAAATAAACTTAACTATAAATAAATTATAAAGTTTTATGAAAGGACATAAAGGAAAATTTGAATAAATGGAAACATCTCTTAGGCAGGAAGACACCAAGTGTAAATAATTCAATGCTCTCCAAATTGATCCATACAATCAATGAAATTCCAATCAACATCCCCAGGTTAAAGCATACACAAAAAACTACTCAAGGTGGATCATATATCTAAAACAAAAACAATGATAAAAGTACTAGAAAAAAATAAAGGAAAAAATTTTTCTTTTCATAATTTTGGGATGGGAAAAATCTTCATAAGGAAAAATATAAAATCCAGAGGACATAAAGACCAGATTGACCATGTAAAAATGAAAAATTCTGACATGATGAAAGAGATTATCAGTAAAAGAAAGGCACAGTCGGCAGAAAAGATTTATGACATACATGAAAATTTGAAGTGTTTACACTTTTTTACTATTTCAAATAATGCTACAGTGACTATCTTTTAATACATATGCAAGTACTTCTCTATGGCAAATATCTAGAAGAATAATTTCTATATGATAGCAGAAATTGAACAGCTGAATCTAAAAATTACCCATTTTAGAATTTCGATTGGTACGAACAAATTACCCTTCAAAATCAGTGTTACCAAATTATTCTCTCACAATCAATATGTAAGAATAGTCATTATACTTCCCTAAAATATACAGCATATTGAAATTTAAAGTATGTGCTAAATTGGTATTTGAAAAATTACTTTTAAACTTCACTTATTACTTCTGAGCTTATGCACAGCAATATGAAAAAGGTCACATTAACTCCAAGGTATCATGGAATACTATATACAGCATGCAAACAGAACAAACTAAATTCATGGATGGCTTCCTAGGTGGCTCAGTGGTAAAAAATCCACCTGCCAACGCAGGAAAAGTAGGTTCAGCCCCTGGTCCAGAAGATCCCCTGGAGAAGGAAATGGCAACTCAGTCCAGGATTCTTGCCTTGGAGAACTCCACTGAGCCTGGTGTGTTAAAGTCCACAGGATGGCAAAGAGTCAGACACAACTAAGCAACTGAACAACAACAACAAAAGCTAATGTACAGTCCCATGGAGTGCTTGCCAAAATATAGATAGATTCCTTTTTTTAAAAAAGAAAAGTATATAGTAATATGCATAATTAAGTTATACTTTGTGACTGCCATATACACATAAAAGCCAAAAAAAAAGAGGTCTGGAGGACAATATACCAAATTTATAATCACGGTTATCTCCAAGGAGAGGAAGTGGCAGGAGTGGGACGTGGTAAAAGAGGGCTAAGCAGGATCTTTTCCTTTTTATTCCAGAAGCTTATAAACTGTACTGTTTTGAATGTCCTCAAAGAGCATGCATTCACCTGCTACTTTTTACACATAAATTTTGAAAATCAAACATACAGAAAGAACTAAATAAATGGGCAGAACAACCTAAAACATTCAGTGTGAACAATACTTGCACACAATGGGAGGCTCTAATTACACACCCGGAAACTGCCAAAGGGCAGGCAGTCAAGAGGAGAAAGTGAAAGGAGGTAACATTTGAATTAGTGCACACTATGTTTAAAGGTTCATCTCAAGTAACCCTTGCAATCAGTATGATTAAGGCAGATCATCACTGTTGGACACATTAAAATACACACACACTTGGAAAGGCTATATAATTTTCTTAGCTCACAAAAATCAGTAACTATAAAAATCCAAGTTTCTCTAACTCCAAACTCCTATGCCTTCCCACTGACTTAATCGTGTCTCAGTGACCACGCTTCAACAAAAGAAAAGATTACTGGTGAACAAATTCCAGTTTCTTAACCTTTGTTGTACTTTTAGACACTTGGGTAGCCTCATTAATCCTGCAGATTACAAGAGAAAAACTGCCTTTAAATGAACAGAAAATATACAAGTTTACAAAGGAAACCAATTATAATGAAATACAGCTATTAAAATATTTTTTAAAACTACAACATTACCAATATATGTGCTAGTTTACTAATACATTAAATAACAAGATCTAGCAGTGGTCTATTGTTGCAAATCTAATGTAACGAGTGTAAAACATATCTCAAGATATCTGCTAACAATTAAAATGTGATAGGAAGACATCCATGATTTCTACTATTGGCAAAGTCACAGCACTGTCTGTTATCTACATTTATAATTAAAGGAAACATAAAATTCCAGTTAATGGTTAGTAGAAATACAGAAACAATTTCCCATCCAATTCAGTTCATATTCCACTAGGGAATTTATGGATCCTAGGACAAATAAGAATTCCTGCCAGCACCACTGTGTTGCTATAAATGGCTATTTCCTTTACAGTGACTTAAGAAACAGAAAAAACAGAAGGAAATAAAAGGGAAGAGTAAATAAGTGTCTAGATAGTTGGCCATTTAGATAAAACAGGCACAGGCAGGCTGTGTTGGTGATGAAATCATCTACTTAGACTTAAAAAATTAATCAGTGATACACAAGCAAAATACCTGTTCCATTATTTTTAAATTTCTATGAGAGCAGTATGATATATTAATATTAGTATTAGGAAATTAACATGAAAAAAGAAAAAAAGCATTGCCTTTTTAAAGTTTTTTCTGAATGTTTAAATCCATCTACAGCCACCACATGCAACAGTAGTGAAAGGAGTAATAAGAATATTACCAACATCTGTGGTCTCAGGATAGACTACTTCTGTGGCCTATATGGGCCTCATTACACACAAAAGTGATTGTAAGACTAATCTCATAAAGCAAAGTTTGTAATATCATCTCTGAACAATAAACATACTTATCCTTCTCTTTTCCTCCACCAAATATGGGATGTAATAAAACTCCACCAGTTTTCAGTTCATATGCCACTATTCTGTCCAGCTCCTAAGGATGTAAAAACAGGGGCCAGTCAGCATTATTTTACATATTATATTTTAGAACTAAACTGTGATTTCTAATTTCCTGGAATCAGAATGTAAATTTCCGAAAGTAAATGAAATGTATTTGGAGAGTAGTTATGCTCTCATAAACAAGGCAGACTACACAGCTGGCTGAGTGATGGGGCCAAACAGCCGTCTCTCCTGTGGGGCCTCAGGGATGGCCGGCAGCCCAGCAGCTTTTACTGCTGGTTCTTCCCAACCTTTCTGACCTGTTCTCCAATTTCTCTCTTCCTTCTCTGTATTTTGCTTCTGGGGGAGGATTTAAGCAAGTAAAAACAAATAGGGATAAAATTACGTCAGGAATCCACAATTTTAAAACTCTACTTTTCTCTAATGTGACACAGGTCAAGATGAAAAAAAAAGTTTCAGTGGAAAAAAGAGACACCATAACTATGCTGAAAATCTATTACTAGTTCAGAGAGTACACAAGCAGTACAGAGAAGTGGCAAAAACCACAGTGAGGGAGTGAAAGGCCAGGTTCACAGCCTGGCTCTACTGCTCACTAGCTGTATAACTTTAGCCAAATAACTTCTCTTTGTGTCAGTATCCTCATCTGTAAAATGCAAATAATGACAGGGTACTTAGGAAGTTTAAGATGGTTATTATTTACAAAGTGCCTGGAATACCATGCATGCTGTAGGTCACATCTCCCCCTTGGTTAATAGTTTTCAAAAACGGACTTGTCCAGTTCTAGATATATGGATTCTTTCATAATTCTCAGTGTTTGAAATTTTTTACAATTACTTTTTAACTTACTTGAGTTTAGGTTTAGATGACCAATGTATATAAAATGAGAAAAGAGGGAGGATAAAAAGGGTATATTTAATGAGGCTATTAAAGGCTAAAGTTTTTCCAACTGAGAAGGGAGAAGATAAACATGATAATAAAATGCATATGAACAGAACAGGCTGGGCAAAACACAACTGATTTTTTTCTGTTTGGCCAAAATCTTTAAATAATGGGAAAAGATGCGAGAACGACAGAGAAGGTAAATGTGTTGCAGGACCAGCCAATGTCCAGTGAGTGCGTCCTGTGACCTGGGTACTACACACACCACATGTACGATGCCTCTAGTTCCTGTCCACGGCTGTAGACGCTACTCCTACTTATGCTCCTGATACAAGAGGCATGGAAAGGTTAACCAAAACCATAAAGCCTGGAAGTGAATAAAAGCAAAATGAAAAGCAAACTGACTCCAGAATCTGGGTTCTAAGTCTAAACAAATTTAGAAAGCACGGCTCCTCTGTCCATGGAATTTTCAGGCAAGGATACTGGAGTGGGTTGCCATTTTCTACTTCAGGGGATCTTCCTGGCCCAGGGGTTGAACCCGCATCACGTGTGTCTCCTGCACTGGCAAGAGGATTCTTTGCCACTAGCACCACCTGGGAAGCCCTTAGATGTTACATTAAAGTCACAGAATTACACTAAAAATCATTACTATGAGGAGCAGAAATATATCTAACAGCTGAATTGATATTTAAGGAGCTTAAATATTCTCATTCTTAGCAAGTCTTTGGAGGCTAACAATGGCAACAGAAACTAGATAAAATAGGTAAGTCTCTATAAAATGATTCTCATTTTTTTGGGAAGAAATCAGGGGCTTTCAATTAACAATAAGTATTTTATAGTTACTAAAAATAAAGCAAACTCTGGAGAACACAAACATGTCTTATTGACTTCTACGTAGATAAATGGATCCAGCTGCTTTTACCTCTTTAATCCAGTGGCGGTATTCATTAACACCAAAAGTTTTTTTCATCCAAAGACCATAAATATAACCAGAAATTCCTTTCAATACCCATTCATCAGACCTAAGCAAAAAGCCAAATAACAATATATTTTTTAATAGAAATAAAACATAACTTTATTATTTTAATAATAAGAATTCTTCAGATAAGGCCAAGAGGGTAACAGAAGAAGCATAACAAGTACTTCTCTGCCTTTTTAAAGCAAACAAAAGTCACTGAACTATTTGGCTCTCCTTCTTCCTCTGGCCGTGTGCTCCTTGCCCGTCCCTTGCACCGCCCCCGGCTCCTGTCTGTGCTCCCTCTGGCTGAGCTCCTCCCTCAGGTCCAAGTCTATCCAGGCCGTCTGCTCCTGAGGAACCAAGGGCATGAAGCCAGGACCACAGGGCTCAGTTCTGCAAAGTCCACACTCTAGTACTGCCGGCCCCATGCATAATTGTTAGCAGTACCCTAAGACCTGAAGTTTAACCACTTACTTCTTAGTTTCTTAAGAGGAAAGACAATGACACCATTCATTCATGTATATACTCATGTTTATCTATTCATTCATTCAAACATTTTGTCTACATGTTCTAGAGACTATTCTTTAGCGAAACTATGTGCCTTAGGAAATGATAAATTAAGAGGCCTTACCCTCTGTCCTTCACCCTCCAGAAAGAAAAATAAAAAGAAATCAAGACTTACATACTATCAATATGTTATAATCCTAGGTTATAATCTTAAGGGAATTTTGTCTGTTTCTTCAAATTTATCTTAAGTTAGTCAGAAAGAAAACAAAAAGTATTTTATTTCTCACATTTTTCAAGTAAATTAGTACAAAACTAGGCACTAGCAGGAAACCCCTACCCATTACCAGTACTGCAGGGGATCACTGTTTCCCCTGCATACCACCACTGAACTGAGAACTGACACCAGAATCCCGCCTACAGCTCTCTGTGCATTCAAGCCCTGCTGTCTACAGTGCTTACTCAGCTCTTTAAGGGGCTGCTCCTATCAAAATTCTTACCTTATTCTTACTGAAAATTATCGAACTGATTATACTGATATTTTGAGGAAATGGCCAAAAATTTAGGATGAAATTTATACTCATTACTTTTCTTTAAACATATACAGAATAGTGTCTGTTAATTATCTGCAGTTAGAACAAAGTTCAACTTACACTGCAGGAAAAGAAAATAAAAATAAACTTCTGATTCTTCTCAGGACTTGTAAACTTTGAAATTACTCACCAAGACATTCTGGATATGAAACATCCAAAAAACTGCTGGGCCAAAGACTGGGCTAAACACCTTCTGGTCAAAGGTGTCTCATCTATGATCATAGCACTGTGCAGCAAATTAGTGCTGGAATTTCAAAGAGCAGACAGGTAATTATAACCAAGAAATAAATAAATACTCAAGATAAAAAAATCACACTTTTAAAATGATAGAATTCAATTAAGATAAAACAGAGAAAAACCAGAATACTTTCCCCAAGAGCTTTCACATCTTTTCAAATTTTATCTGAAATCCGTATTTTAGTAACTTTTGTTTAAAGTAAGGATTGTAATGTTCCCCACTGATTTCCATGAAAAATATAAATATTCTTTTTGGGGGCTAGGCAGTGGCAGCAGCAATCAGAAATTGGTATGTTCATCAGAGCCTAGTCCTTTTACAGGGTGGGGGGGGGTCTTCTAATTTCAAAAATCTTTTCCTAACAATACTACTAACTTTTTGTCCTATAATATTTACTTTCAAATACACTGACCCATCAGATCTTCTAACCACTCTGAAGAATGCAGGAACACTACTATTATGTACATTTTATAGAAGAGAAAATAGACCCAGAAAAAACAACTACTGATCCTGAGACATAAAACATCCAAATTTGGAGCTTTTCAAGGAATAAAAGAAGGGAGGGAGATAAAGTGGGTAAGAGAAAAAAGAAAATAAAGTTTTTCCTCCTTATTTTTTTATATACAAATTTCTGATGATATTAGTAAATTTTTATATGGTGCTAGGACAAAAACCCCACTAAATATCCATATAGTACTTTGTATATTTGTTTAAGTGCATAAGCAGAAAAGAGACTAAAACAAAGATGTAAAGTATTAATAGCAGATAATTCTGGATAAAGATAATATGAGTCTTTTGGGCTATTTTGAAATTTTCTTTATGCTTTTCTACATTTAAAAATTTTGAAAACACAGAATTTCTACAAAGTCATTCATAGCTAAATTGAAGGGGGAAAGTTCAAAATGCATCTTAAAAATGATCATAAAATAAATAACCTTCACATCATGAACCTAATTTAGTCATTTCAAATTTGGATACAGACCTAAAAATGCTCATGGAAGCATAAGCAGCCACTTCAACATAAGCCTCATCAATGAATACAGTCTTAAAACAGGAATATGGGTATCGACATGTAAGAATTTCTTCATAAAATTCAAAAACTTCATGAAGATATGATGTGGTATGTTTAAGCAATGGAAGAAGCTGAGGTAAACAAAAATGAGTAACCTAAAAACAAAAAGCAGGGAAGATTATTAAATAAGAGTTAACTTACATCTTAAATTTCCTAAATATCTCAATTATAAATGAAGCAGCATTTAAGTCCCTCCCCTCCCCCATTTTTCCAACAAATCCATGGCACTGAGATAAAACACTGGTATGAAATTAGTGACTACTGTTATTATGTTTATGAAATAGTCAATGCATCAGAATTAAATTCATGGTAGATTTTATGTCTATGAAATGCTTAGATCCAATGAAAATATAACTTTGGTTACAAATTAAAAGTTTCTTCTGCATATGCATACAGAACAAAAATAATCTAAATTTCCAAGGCTTACTATAAACCTGCCTTTTACTCATAAACCTAACCTAGTGAACACTGCACATCACAGTACCGTCCTGTATAATTAAAAGCTGCCTATCTTCAGAACACACAAAGAACAACATGAAGCTTCAGGAAGGCTTATTGGTAGTGAGGAGCTAAGAAACACCAGCAATAGAAATAATAATGCTGACTTTCTTTCACTACATCCCATTTTGGGCACAAACACGCATTCATCACATGCTGTTTTCCTGTCCCTTATGACGGTTCTGTGCCGTAAGAATAACATCAAAAGTGACATCATCACTCTACCAGCAGGCTCCCCAGGTGGCTCAGTGCTAAAGAACGCCTGCCAATGCAGGAGACGTGGGTTTGATCCCTGGATCAGAAAGATCCCCTGGAGGAGGGAATGGCAACCCACTCCAGGATTCTCACCTAGTGACTCCCATGGACAGAGAAGCCTGGTGGGCTACAGTCCATGAGCTTACAAACAACTAGACAAGACTAAGCAACTGGGCATGCAGGCACTCTGACCAAAATGATCCAGAAAGCTTTTATGAAGACTAAATCTGAGCTAATCTTTTTGAACTGGACAAAAGTTTGACACATATGGACAGGAAAAGGGGACACTGCAAATGGAGTCAAAGACAGGAAAAGATATGGTTTGGTTGGAAAAAATATAAGTAAACTATGTTGAACAAACATAAATAGGAAAGAAATGAGGAAAAAGCTAGAAAGGAATATTAGGGTCAAATTCTAGATGCTCTTGAAAGCCATGCTAAACAGATCTGATAACTGCAGGATGTGGAGGTAAGGAAAGTTTTTAACATTTAATAAAAAACTACTCTTCTAACAACATTATGAAAGAACAGATTAGAGACTACTGTAAATGAAGGATGAGCATGTATGGATTACTAGTGACTGGAGCCCAAACTGCACTGTGATGAGCACTTACTGGTACACAAACAAAAAAGAAAATACTATTCATCAAAAAGACTCACTTTTAGACAAAACTACATGATAGCAAGTCTACTGATAATACAAGAGAAACTTTATTTGAGAGAGAAAGACTAAGTCACAGGCTTTAAGTATTTAAGAAAAATACTTCTTGACTGACATTTACCTTTCTCCCATCCAATGGCTCAGTGGGAAAACAAAAACTCTTCCAAAATACAAAGCAGGTACTAATCAAATTTTGATTTTAAAGTTGATCATTTACCAAAAATGGTAAAATTCACTGCATCTTATCAGTGAATACACTTTTAAGAGTCATTGTTAAGACACCAAAAGCAAACCATTCATAAAACATCTTGAATATTTTCCATGAGTGATTTTACAAACCTTGTGAATTAAGGGATTCATTCAAATGTTGCTTTAAACCAACACAGAGACCATGCGGGTCAATAACCAATGAATCACTTTATACCCAACAGAAACGTGATGCATAAGGAGGCCGAACAGTACTACGACAGGACTTGTCGACTGGTCCCTGGCTTATGATCAGACATGCGGAGGAGCCTGGGGGAAACCTCAGTGAGCGCCAGTCCTGCCTGCCTTACCGTTTCTCTTCCCTCTACACATGCTGAAGTGAGAATTAATCCTGCTTTTTAATTCTGAAACTGCAATATTCAGGTTCTGGAGAGGGATCCAGAACATTCATAAACTCATAGTAGTTCTTTAATAGAATCAGTTATAGAAATTGACCAATATTCTAACCAAGTTACTTGAAGCTCTTTTGGAACACTAAGCCCTCTGATGAAAAAAATACGAAAATTTAAAAAGAGTTGATACCATTACACACTTCAGAATAAAAAACCTTTCTCTCTAGTGAGAGTTCTCATAGCTGAAAAAAGAATTAAGAAAAACTTGGTATTTTACTCATATTCTCCTGATCAAGCTTGAAAGAGTAGGAGAGGAGGGAGCAAGAAGCCACAGTTTACCTCATGCATATATGGATCTACAAGGATTTCAAAAGGTCCAATGGCCAAGGAGATGTTTGACGCAGATGTCGGGATGGTAAGCATGTAATGGAAGGTCTTTTTCCTCATGTCATGGGTATACACGGTCTCCACCAAATCTCCATTGGAAACTGCTACCATGGCGGCATCCACTGTAAACTCTAATTTCCACGTACACAATTCAGAGTATGAATCAACACATGGGAACCAAAATCTAGAAAAAAGATCAACAGTACAGAAAACGTTGAAAATGTAACCTACGTTGTTCCTCCCACATATAAGGAATTTTAACATTTACAGAATGCATACAAAAAAAATTTTTTTAGCTCTCTGTGCACTAATGCTTTTTACTGAGCAACCTGAAAGAATGGGATTAAAGATACAGCCCTGTCTCCAAACATTACTTGGCAATATTAATAAAATATATCATGTGGTACCTCCAGTTTAAACCCTGAAAAGAAGTAAGCAAGTCTGAGTTTCTGATTTTTTAATTAAAAATAATTTTTACTTGTATATTCAGTTTTTATGTAGCATTCATTTTCAGGAGCAAAAAATGCTTACAATAAAGTTTTAAAAAATACAATATCCAGAATCCATTCCATACATCAGGAAACCGCTTCTCTGGAGTACGTGGTGCACTGTATAAACTCAAACAGTGCCGACAAAACCAGACACTAAATTTCTATTCAATGTTCTACTCAGATCAGGTTTTACTATGTGCCAGGGTCAGTACTTGTTACTGAAATACAAAGACTGATAAGACAATATCCCTGGCTTGGAGGAGTTAATAGTCTGAAGAGAAAACAAAATATTTCAATAATGTGGTTAACTACAGAGCTAAGAGAATGAACTACAGTTACATGGAATAAAGGTACATCTCACTATCACAGTTATATGAGAAAGGCAGATATAAAGAGCATGACACATATGATTCCACTTAATAAAGTTCAAAACTAGGTGCAACTAATCTATGGCATTTTGGAGCTCAGGATGGAGGTTATTTCTCAGGCTATCAGGAGAAGCAGTGAATGGAAGGGGGTAGATGCGGTGATTCTGTAATGCTGATAATGCTACCGCTCTTTTTCTTGATGTGAGTGTGAATTACAGGAAGCTGTTCACTTTGAAAATGTACCAAGCTTTCTATTTACAATTCATTAATTCTCTGTATGTTGTTTTACTTCAATACAAAAGTTTAAAAAATAAAAGAATTGAGATGACTTTAGAACAGCAGATTTGAAGAGGAGAGGAGGGAGGACAGGACTGAGGAGGAATGATTAAAGGAATAAGATTCCGAAGAGGGAAAAGCAGCTGGGGATCAGGGTTCATACTTCTCATCTGACACTAAAATACCTGTACTGTATATATATATATATATATATATAGAAAAAAATGCAATCAACTGTAATACATAAGAATGAGTCATCTACCTTGTGGAGTTCTGATACCCACAAGAGAACACATGAGCACCTCTCTCGGCCATGCTTCCCTCTACACTGGGTACCACAAAGTGCAGACCTCCTTTTGGCTGATCCAAAGAAAAATTGATGTGTATCTTTAGGACCTTTAACTCTGCAACAAATAAACAAACACACAGATATATAACTATATATTAGGTAACAGTGGTCAATATAATAAGGGTAAAGACTTACACTGAACATAAAGTGGGAATCAAAGGTTGAGTTTTACCTAAAAAAGCCACACTATTTAACCTGATGCAGGTTTTTTACCATCCCTTGGCCTACAGGAGCTCAACAACCTGCTTGTACTGGTGTCCTAGCGCAAGTGTGAAAGTCGCTCAGTCGTGTCCGACTCTTTGCAACCCCAGGGACTATACTCCATGGAATTCTCCAGGCCAGAATACTGGAGTGGGCTGCCGTTCCCTCCTCCAGGGAATCTTCCCAACCCAGGGACTGAACCCAGTTCTCCCGCATTGCAGACGGATTCTTTACCAGCTGAGCCACCAGGGACTGGTGTCCTTATCTCCACTCAATTCTAGTCACTGCTAGCTGTGGGCTCTCAAAACATAGATCATACCATATTCTCTTCTCAGTTTCTGACAATGCTATACTGCCAAAAGAAAAAAGTTCAAAACTACCACCTAGGACACTTATGGCCTTCCAGACCCCATTCAAAACTTACTTTTCAAGTTTATTCACTTACTATACTCCCACAAATCCTGTTAATCCTACTTGTGACTCTGAGGAGTAGGAGCAGGGAGTGGGATAGGTGGGAAGGATTACCCAAGAATTTACATTATGCAGCATTATTCATTACAGTTTATTTCTAAGCAATAAATATGCACTGCCTTCCCGAGACTGGGCTCCCCAGGTGGCTCAGTGGTGGAACCCGCCTGCCGGTGCAGGAGACGCGGTTCAGTCGGGTTCAGCCCTTGGGTCTGGAGACCCCCTGGAGGAGCAAAGGGGCGGCGCACCCCGGCGCTCTCGCCCGGGACCCACAGACAGAGGGGCCTGGCGGGCCTAAGTGCACGGGCTGCGAAGAGTCGCACACAGCCGAGCGCACACACACACACACACACACACACACACACACACATCATCCACAAGGTTAAAAAAATGTTTCTGTTAATTTCCCCCAGAACATGACAACAATATGGACTTTCTCCAATCCCTGAATATATGATGATGACCTTCCATGCCTTTCCCCTAAACTAGGCAGTATCTCTAAAACATAAACTCCTCCCCCCACTACACACACACAAACTATCCAAAAAAAGCAAAAAAACACCAAAGTACTTTACTTCCTTGTTTTGATTAATTTTATACAGCAAAATAAAGGCAGGCAGAGATGTATAATAATTAAAACAGCTGTAACTTTATACAGGCAAAGAAAGACTTAGAAATAATAAAAGTGTGCGGAGTGGGTGTTAGAAACCCCAGGCTCTAGCCTTGGCTTCTCTCCTCATCGGTCACATTCAGCAGGTCACTCACGCTCTTTAGACATCAAACTGTTCTTCTGCGACAGGAGGAAACTGAATAAGATGATTCTTTAGGATCCTTCCTTTCACAAAACTCTGTGATTCGAAACTGACTTAGTATTATACGGGTTCTCAAATCTTGACAAAGTATTCCATCCATTTGTTTTTTTTTAAATAACTTTCACTTTAAAAACTACATTGAAATGAGTTGCTTTTTGTCACAGCGCCTGATTGCTGTTTTCCTATTAGCCAGTTATCTTTAAGAAAAAAAAAGCTTCCAACTCCTGTATATTTCAACTGACTATAATTTAAATACTATAAACTTTCATGAAAAGCTTTTAGTTACTAAATTCAACATGATTTAACTGTACAGTCAATATATTCTTGATATTTTACCATCGACGTGTTTCCACAACTCTGACGGAACCTTGATGCACAGCTCCCCGTTCCCTGCATCAGGATCCACAGCACTAACTGCAGCTGCATAAGCATTGGAAAAGTAGTTGAGATTTCTCCTGGGGAGAGGGGAAAGAAGAGAGAAAGCCAGTCTTAACAATAAGACACATATTTCACCAAATGTTTTCTTAAATACTTGGCACCACTTGTTTGTAAGGATTATATCATCTTACATAAATCACAGGAATGCTTTTTAGCCAGTTAACTGTAGATTTACTGCCCAGGACAAAAACTTGGGCAAGAAGGCCAAACCAGTCAATCCTAAAGGAAATCAACCCTGAATATTCACTGAAAGGACGGATGCTAAAGCTCCAACACTTTGGCCACCTGATGCAAAGAGCTGACTCACTGGAAAAGACTCTGGTGCTGAGAAAGATTGAGGGCAGGAGAAGAGGATGACAGAAGATGAGATAGTTGGATGGCATCACCAACTCGATGGTCATGAGTTTGGGTGGACTCCGGGAGTTGGTGATGGACAGGGAGGCCTGGATGCTGCAGTGCATACAGTCACAAAGAGTTGGACATGACTGACTGACCAACAACAAATGCAGTGGCATATAAGTCTATTCACTGATGCTATGTGTTTATTATGATTATCACATCCTTCATTAATTTTAGAATACCAAAGCCACTACAATTTCCTGATACAAATGTAAAGAATACAGGTAGAATTGAAAAAATAATTAATTCTTTAGCTAATTGGCAAAAATTTGAATGGATTCAACAAGCTTTATAATCTGACAGAAATTCAAGATGTTTAAAAGAAGTCAGGACGTGAATTAATTCCTCACTCCACGGTACACGACAGTGCGAGCTCAGTGAAGGAGGGAGCATCTGTGTGGTTCACTGTCAAGTCCCCTGAAGGCAGGGGACTTTTAATGGGCAGGCTTAGTAGCTCAGCCGTGTCCCACTCTTTGCAACCCCACAGCCCAGCAGGCTCCTCTGTCCGTGGGATTCTCCAGACTAGAATAACTCGAGTGGGTGGCCATGCCCTCCTCCAGCGGATCTTCCCGAGCCAGGGATCAAACCCACATCTCCTGCATTGCAGGTGGATTCTTTCCCACTGAGCCACCCGTTCAATGGGTACTTAGCCTTATTTCCCGCTGGACGAAATTCATGAACAGAAGACTTATGCAAATATGAAAACACTGTTCTCGTCTGATTTTCTAACTTTTTCCCATAAAGTAATTCATATACATATACATTCATACACACACAAATCACATGTCCTCACTGCAATCAGTGAGAGTAACACAGAGGAAATGGAACAAAGAAAAAGGGCAAGGAATGGCAAGAGCAAGAAAGAAAGATCAGACGCGATTCTGTGGGACAGGCTGCTGTGACCTGTGCGCAGGCATCACGCCCTTGGACGGGGCCGCAGAGCACCATCGACGGCACTTCGCTAACTGAATGAATCCTTGCGAGTTAAGAGACAGCTTTCATACACTCTGCAGGACGGGAGGGAGACAAAGCAGGAAGAGCCACTAGAGAAGACACCACACTGGCACCGTCCGCACGCCAGAGGCCACCCCGCCCCAGCTGCCGCTCTCTACCAGCCAGGAAGGCGGTGATCCCAACCACGGCTTTAAGCCACAAAATACAAGCTTCTGAAAGTAGTTACGCCAATTCTCGGTACTTTTAACACTGCCTTTCTGTTAGATAAACATGTGAAATAAGGGGTATAAAAACTCCAGGACCACAATAAAAAAGAAATGTATGTTTTTTCACATACCATCTTTTCTCTTTTAATTATCATACAGTAAAAGTAACTTTCTCCCTTTGGTATGTAATTCTGTAAATGTTAACATGTATAAGTAACCCCTACTACAACTGGGATACAGAACAGTTCCACCATCCCCCAAAGTCCCTTGTGCCAAATACATGGAATCATAAGAATGGATTTTTGAGGCTGGCTTTTCTCTCACTCAGTATGTCTTCAAAGTTCATCTAAGGTGTACATGTACCAACAGTCGGCCCCTTATTATAGCAACTGCACCACAGATTGTTCACTGTTTACTTACTCATCCACTGAAAGACAGCTGGGTTCTCTCCAGCTCTTGGCCATTAGGAATAAAGCTGCTACAAACAACTGTGTATCAGCTTTTATGTGAATCTAATTTTCATTTCTGTAGTACAAACAGGCAGGAGTGGGACTGCTGAGTCATATGGCAACTGTAAGTTCAGCTTTACGAGAATCTGCTAAGCTGTTTTCCAGAGCAGCTGTGCCACGCTGCGTTCTCATCGTCAATGTAAGAAAGGGCCAGTGGCTCTGCATCCCTACCAGCACTTACCAGTTAACACACTCTACTAGTCAAAGACTACTTTGGACATCTCCAGGTTGCAACTTCTCTTCAATAAAATATCAAAAACACGAAATCTGAAAGCCAGTTATTTGTGAAGTTTAAAAATAATCATTGTTACAAAAAAGCTAGATTTAAACATTATATACTAAACCACTCTGTTTTTTTTTTTTTAATGGAAAATTATTCCCACTTAATCTCCTCATTTCCTGAGACAAGGTAAAGTGGTCCAAATAAAATGGTGAGTCATTATAAATGGAATCTATTGGAAAGTCAGTTTTGAGGAACAATCTTCTCATGGCTTGGATTTCAGTGTTTCCTTTCATAATACAAATCAAACATGTTTCCTTTCATAATAACCTAATAAAAGCCAAAAATTACAAGGCAAGATTATTTTAAGTATTTTCAATTTTCAGAATGATAATGACGGTAAAATATTAACACACCGCTGGCCTATAACCACCACAGTCCCCAGGCTTCCTTATGGAAACAAAGCTTAAAGAGGAATAATGCTATAAAGGATATTGAAAAACAAGTACATTAAGGTGAAATCAAAAGAATTTTCTCCAAGAACCAATTATAAATATCTACATTAAATTAAAATAATCTGTTCTTTCTCAAGAACATGTACTTTTTAAAACTGAATGTGCAGATTCTGCAAAACTTAAGATTCAACTGTTTGTAAACCTTATCTCCATTTAAAAAAAAAACTTCATGAAAGCAAAATACATTACATCAGCAAAGTGTATGTGCTCTAAGTATACAGCTCCATGAATTTTCACAAAACCA